CACTTGGCTTAATGATTAAGAAATACTGCTGTAACTCTAGAATTACCAGGATGTGTAAAGACCTGCTGGGTCAGGACTTTATTTTTGGTTGGTAGAAGCAACTGTAGAAAGGAAGAAATATAGCAAGGAATAGTTAAGTTATTAAGAAAGTGTTTTTAATTAAACCGGTAAGGACCTGAGGATTACAGTGGACCGTAAGTTGAATATGAATCAAAAGTGTGCCTATGTTGCCAAGAAGGCTAATGGCATCCTGGGCTGCATTAGTAGGAGTATTGCCAGCAGATTGGGGGAAATGATGATTCCCCTCTATTTGGCACTGGTGAGGCCACATCTGGAGTACTGTATTCAGTTTTGGGCCCTTCGCTACAGAAAGGATGTGGACAAGTTTGAGAGAGTTCAGTAGAGGGCAATGAAAATGGTTAGAGGGCTGGGAAACAACTTTTGAGGAGAGGCTGAGGGCACTGGACTTATTTAGTTTAGAGAAAAGATGACTAAGAGGGGATTTAATAGCAGCCTTCAACTACCTGAAGGGGGGTCCCAAAGAGGATGGAGTTGGACTGTTCTCAGTGGTGGCAGATGACCGAACAAGGAGCAGTGGGCTCAAGTTGCAGCAAGGAAAGTTTAGGTTAGATAGTAGGAAGAACTTTATCACTAAGAAGGTAATAAAACACTGGAACAGGTTACCCAGAGAGGTGCTGGAAGCTCCATCTTTGGAGGTTTTTAAGGCCTGTCTCAAAAGCCTTGGCTGGGATGGATGATCTAGTTGGGGATGGTCCTGCTTTGAGCAGGGGGTTGCACTAGACCCCCTGAGGCCCCTTATTTTCCAACCCTAATTTTCTATGATTCTATGACTCTGAAAGCCTCCCTAAAGGAAATGGTAGAGGTGCCAATAATAGAGTTGTTTAATGCTGGACTGGGCACAGCAGTAAATAATGTATTGGAAGAAACAGCCTTGCATAGTCAAAGGGATAGAAGAAAGGACCAAAAATTTAAGGATGAATGGACAGGATTATATTTTAGCAGGACTGACACCCCCCCCCCCCCCCCCGCCCCCAACAACAAAATCACAAAATAGAGTGGGAGAGTGCAAAATGGAATAAAAGGAGCATGAGCCCCTTACCTTGCCTTTCCAGTCTTGGCTAATGTCAATTAGGGCTGTGCGAAGCTTTTGTCCCTCATTCAATTCAGCAGAGATTCAGCCCAATTCAGTGGCCGAATCTCCGAGTCTGAATTGAATAAGGAGACCCTTTGATCTCCCCGAATCAAATTGGAACCCTCCAAATTGATTTGGAACGATTTGGAGATACAGACACAGCTTTAAACGCTGTTGTTTCTACATACCTCAAGGTACCAAGTGGCTCGTAAATGCTGGGGCGAATGGAGCGTCCCACAGGAGCGCGGGGGACTCCCCATTGCGTTTGGCAGCAGACCCGGAAGTGGACCAAAAGCACTGGCAGTCCACTTTGGGTCTGCCTGGGAGTGCATTGGGGGGACCCCTCCGGCTCAGTGATTGGTGCCTCCTGGGTCTGGGGGGGCGCCCGGGATCCCCCCGTTGGCCAATTGCCAGGTCGGGGTGGCAGTGGGGCCAGGGGAGCCCCCCAGTGCGCTCCCCAGCGAACCCGGAAGTGGACCAGAAGTACGCAGGGGGCCCTCCCGTGCTCCCATGGGGTGCTTCATCCGCCCCAGCATAGCAGTGTTCACAAGCCATGCTGGTACCTCGAGGTATGTAGAAAAATATTTAAAGCTGTGTCTATGGCTGAATCGCTGATTCTCTGAGTCGGCATCAAATCTTTAGATCTGGATTGGGCTGAATCAAATCATGGACAGTGATCTGAATCAACAAATCGAATCACTGTCCCTGATTTGGGCCAAATCAGAATTGAATACAGCCTGTTTTGCACACTCTTTATACTTAAATGAAATGAGAAATCTTATGTCAAGAGTTTGGTTAGGTAGAGAGAGGACTGAAGCCTTGTGTATGCATATAGTTTTTTAGGAGAGGCGGCATGTCTGGAAAAGAACCAAGAGCCACGTACATAGCTGTACTGACGGGAAAACCAAATACAAAGTTATGTCAAGATGCATTTGCCCATAAAACATATTTCCTTTGGGGGACTTGTCTAACCAAGAGCAGTCTTTTGTTTTTTGTTTTACTTTTTTTCCAGGTATATGCTGCATTGTCAGCATAGGTGCCCTGGGAAACCTTTTCTGTAGGGACCTGGCCTTAGGATGTTCCCTTGGTCACGACACAGTAAGCTGATGTCTGACGGTAGTTGTAAAAGGAAGCTGGTTTGGAAGGCATGGCGCTGAGTTCTAGCAGGGCAGTTCAGAGCCTAGGTGGAATTGTGTTTCCCTGAAATAGCAATTTCCTCTCCTATAAGCAAGTTTGTATCTGAAGGTCTCAGCGGTTTGCAGAGATGGGTAATTACTCTCCCTTCCCATGTCAGAGCTGAAGAAATTGAGGCGTAGGAAGGATAAGTGGATGCTTATGTCACACAGCCAACTGGGTACTGTATTTTTTTTCATATTCAACATGCACCTTTCTACCAAAATCAACCCCCTAAATTTGGGGTGCATACATCAAATGGAGAAGCTGATTTTTTTTCTGCCCAGGGTAGAAGTACCCAGCTTTGAGTCCATGCTGCACAATGCAGCAGCTGTTGCATTTCTTTTCAAGCAGCAGAGGGTTGACTTTAATAGCTCTTTGTTCTTCACCCCAGAGATGTTGGCCACTTGTATATGTGACAGGGGTTTAGTCCCCTAAAATGAAACAGTGGCTTTTTAATTGCAACAATTAAAATCCTACTATTTCAATTTAGGGGCTTCCATCACTGTTATAGTGAAGGACTCGGTCCTTTTTTTTTTGTTTTTTCTTGTCTTTTCTTTCCACCTGCAGTCTGCCTGTGTCTCCCACAGCTGGGGGGGCGAGCTGCCAGTGGGCTGCATGGCCCCCGAGTTGGGGGGGCGCCCTGGTCCCTCCCGCTGTGTCAGCAGCACCCTCCAGGGATGCCTGGGTGAGCTGCCAGTGGGTGGGTGCTGCCCAGGGGGCACTGCCACCATGAAGGGAAGGTCTGGGGCTCCCCACAGCTCAGGATCTGCCAGCAGCTTGCCCCCAGCCACGGGAGAGGCAGGCAGGCTTCTGGGGCAGGAAGGATCAGGCCCCTTGCTGCTGCTGCTGCTTTTTTTTTCTCAGTGGAGTCTGTCTATACAAGCTGCCTCCAGACCGTGCAGCCTTTGAGCTGCGGGGGCCTGGTCCTTCTTTCTATGGCGGTGGGGTCCTAGCTGCACAGATGCTGCCCCAGCTCGCAGGCAGCACCCACCAGATCCAACTCTTCCCCGAGCCCATGTGGAGAGCAGCACCCGGCGGGCTTCCAGCATGCAGGCTCAGAGAAGAGTTGGATCCAGCGGGTGCTGCCTGCAAGCTGGGGCAGCACCCACGTAGCTGGGACTGCACCTGGGCAGCCCTGCCACTGACACGGAGGGAAGGACCAGGGCCCCTTGCAGCTCAGGGGCTGTGGCCTGGCAGCAGCTCACGTGGGCAGGCTTCGCTGAGGGGGGTGGGGGAAAAAAAAAAGCAGTGAGGGGTCTGATCCTCCCCCTGCACAGCCTGCCCGCCTCTCCCACAGCCCTGTGGGGGTTGCTGGGGGTGAGGGGCAGGCTGCCTTTAGAGGGCCGTGGACCTTCCCTCCATGGCAGTGGTGTACCCCAGGGTCACCTGGGCGGACGGCTAGCAGGCGGGTGCTGCCCCAGCTTGCAGGCAACACTCAGCCCAATCCAGCTGTTCCCTGAGCCCAAGGTGGGGCATCCCCAGAGGGTGCTGCCACCACAGAAGGAAGGACCAGGGTCCCCTACAGTTCAGGGGCCGCTTGGCCCACTGGCAGCTTGCCCCTGGGCCGCAGGAGACTTGCTCAGGCTACACCGGGGGGGAAGGAGGAGTGGAAGAATCAGGCCCCTCACCGCTTCTGCCTTCAGTTCACCTCTCCCGTGGCGAGAGGGGGGCTGCAATGTTACAGATAGCTACACTGCAAACTAAATGACATGTGAATGTGGTTTAGTTCGCTATGTAGCAAACTCATTCAAATAAAAAACCCCCACACGTGTACCATGTGATGCAATTAAACCACAAAAATGGCCAATTTTCATCACCTGTACAAGCGCCCGTTAATGATAGCCTCTCCTTTTTAAGCAAGCTAATCTTTCTTAGGGCATTTTTGATGCCTGCTAGCTGCTCTGGTTTCTCCCCTCCGATTTGTCATCCTTGGAGACTCTTTAGCTCTTTTCAAAATCATAAATCCACCCATGGGAGACTGGTCTTTAGGGGCAGCTATGGTTTCAGCTTTACTTAAGCAGGAAAGGGAGGGTAGGTCAGTTAAAGATTAGGCTCTGTCCCTGCTCTGTGCATCCACAACTCTGGAAACATCTTTTTTCTTCTTTTGTCTTTCAAAACCAAGGTGTGTATTATTCCTGGGCATATTGCATCCAAGAAAATATGATACCGCGTACCAGAAGACACCAAGTCCCTCGTATATATGCTTCCATGCTAGCTGGTACTCACATAGTGGTAAAAGAAGCTTAGCAGTAAACCACAGCTATCTTCCCCACTCTATCCCTCTTTTCTTCTTGGTACATGTGCAGTCATTAGAAATTACCTTTTTTATCTGCATCCCCCCCATATGTTGCTGCTTTAGGCTTCCCTGCACAGGGCAGTATCACTGACTGCAGGAATACTATACAGTGGCTCAGCTGGCAGAGACAGCTTTCCCTTATTCTGTCGCTCCCATCTCTTGCCTCCTCTGGTATTCCACTGTTGAAATACCTTTCTAGATCTGTAATGACCATGCACATCCCCAAAAGGAATCAAGTCCGTTATTGTATAAAAGAGCCACTCAATGCAGGTCGGAAATATCTCCCCTCTTGGCAAATTGCATTTTTCTCACTTTCTAGGAATTCTGTATGACTCTAGTTTGTGATACTTTCCACCTGTCTGGGTCATACAACGAATGTCTCAAGCCAGCATTGATGACATCAGACTTGGCTACTCTGAAGGCAATATGTTTCATGGGTAGAGCCCAGGATTGTGAGCCAAGAGACTTTCTTCTTCTTAGCTTTGCCAGTGATTGAAGCTGTGACTTTTGGCAAGTTGGTGGTGGTGGATTTTTTTGGTTTGTTTGGGGTTTTTTTGGTGCTTTAATTTGCTCACTTGTATCCATGGAGTTGTCACTTTCCTACCTTAGTAAAGCATGATGGGATCACAATATTGTCCATCCCAAATAATATATACAAAATTGTCCTGCTCCCCCAAACCATCAGATTTTAATAGATAATTTGGGTTTCTTGCCCTTTTGCCTTCTGATCTGTGAGCCTTTTGAGTTCATTTGATTCAAGTTTTCCTTTTCTCTACAACCTTCAGAGCTGAGCACTTTTATATAAAAAATGAAAATGAAGATTCTTGTTCCTGGGAACTGGAGCTTTCAGTATCACCATGAATGTCACAAGATTCATGCGAAAATGGCAGAAATAGGCAAATTCTGGATCTTCTAAAGCAATGATCCTTGACCTTTTTAGACTCAAGGCACCCCTTGGAAAATGCCAGCTCTTTGCTTTCACTCAGTTGTGACTACAGAAATCTAATAGACTGCAATTCTGTCTCAGAGACAGAAAGCCCCAAACAGGACAGAATGGATTCCTATTTGAAATCCTGGGTTTATCTTGTGACTTGTGCATATGCACACCTACGAGAATCTCATGGCGCCCCAGGGTGTGGTGGCAACCTGGTTGAGAAACATTGCTCTAGGGAGAGGAACTGCAGAAGTACAGAGGAGGAGGAGGAGCATAGGTGCCAACTTTTATTGTTGCCAGGGGTGGGCCTAAGATGCCCCTGCACCAGTAGCACAGCCGGATCAGAGCTGAGCGGAGCCTGTGGGAAGGGTGGGGGCAGACGCGGGCTGCCTGCTGCGGGCTCGGGCCTCCCCGCTTTGCTGTCCTCCCCCCAGTGCCCTGCGCCGGCTGTGCCACCACTGCCCCCACATACCCGGTGCCTACAACTGGTGACTAGAGGGAGGTCCTTCACCGTAATATCATGGGGCAGAATAAGGATTTTTGACCATGTCATTCTCCAACACCGAATTCAGCCTGATGGGAAAGGAGATGCAGTTTAACAAATGTTTGTTCTTTCTGAAGGTCTGCCTGAGTTTCCTCTTCTGTTGCGATTGACCTTTGCCTTTCCTGTCCACTTGTTTCCTTTTTCTGTCCTTTATTTCTAGCAAGACTGAGGACTGGGGTTATCTCAATGAAGATGGAGAGCTCGGCTTGGCTTATCAAGGGCTAAAGCAAGTTGCCAGGTCACACACTTTTTTTCTTACTCCTCTCTCCTTTCCCCTGTCTGTATCACTCCTTCATATCTGCGTGTTTCCTCTCTCTCCTCTCCCTCACAAAAGTTAAGACCCTTTTTCAGTGCTATGAAATGATCTTACAAAAAACGCTATAGAAGGGAAAGTTCATAATTATATTTATTATCATACAGTGGGCAACTCCCCGTTTCAGAGGGATGTGGTAGAAGTGATTCTGAAAATTGTATGAAAAATATGACTTGGCTGATGCAATTTTTAGAAGCATGCAGGGAGGTAAATGCAAAAGGAGCGCATTTTTCCTAGTGGCATTTGGCTTGTACCTCACCTAAACCCTTATGAATATGCATGATAAAATGTGCAGCACCTAGTACTTAACAGTGGTTTGTTAAGTGAGTTTTCCAGTCCCATCGCAAACGTTCTTGTAGACTATATGATTGTTTTCAACCATGAAGGAAAAGATATGCTCATTTCACAGGAACAGTGAACAGAGTCTCACAAAGTGAGACATCTATACTTTTAGTCAAAAAAAATAGAAAAGCTTTCATTTAAAAAAAAAAAAAAAAAAAAAAAAAAAAAAGTCAAAACATCAATTCTTCCATAGAAATCGGTTATTAACTATCCTGTCAAAAACAGCTTGGATGGGAAAACTTTTGACCGGCCCTAATTAAGGCCACGTCTGAATAAGATACATAAGTATATGCCTGATTTGAAGCATCAAACTATTTCTGTTGACTTTAATGGGACTATTTCTATGCCTAAAGTTGGGTGTGTGCTTTATTGTCTTGCTAAATAGTAATTTGCTCAAGACCACAGAGGAATTCAGATACCCAAGACCAGGCTGGTGCCTTGGCCTTCCTAACTCTGTCCCTTATTCAGACCCCTTAGTGGTTGTGAAATCACTTGTTTAGAGTTGGTTGGAATAGCTGAAAGGACTAATGGGGAGATTTCAATTTAGCAGACTATAATTGGTCCCCTTAAAAATCATTTAGCTTGTCAAATGTTAAGTTTATCAGTACACCCAACAGTGCAGACGCAGACGGGAGGGCCCTAACCTTTCAGTGATGAATCGTTCTTCCATTTGGTTAAGGAAGGCGTGTGGGTGGAAAGGGAGAAAGTAATGCTCAGAAATGTTTTATATGTTCTATTTTACTGGAAGTGCAGCTTGTGCTTTAATTTATCACTGCACAGAGCTACATGCTGTGTGTCCACATGGAATTCTTCTCCTTTTGTGATTAAAGACCCCCCCTCCTCCTCCAAGCCACCATTTCAATTTTCCTTTGATGCAATCTCTACGGGTTTTATTCAACCTTTTTATTCTTCAAGATGACTTGGAAAAGAATGAAAAACAAAATAAGAATAGAACATTCTTGCAGAATTTTTGCCAGATCGGAGGCAGGGTGATATTTCCTACTAGAGAGCGAGGCCTGCATTTTTCAAAAGTGACTAGCAATTTAGGGGCATCTGGGGTAGCTCCAGGAGAAATACCATGGCACCTATAAAGTCTGATCCCAAACTGCTGAAGTTCATTGGGATGCTTCATTTGACTTCAGTTAGTATTGGATCAAGGTCTTGGTACCCAGCTGTGTCCTCACAGTCTTGCTATGTGTACTTCCATAGCTTTTCCCCCGACTTCTGCAGCCTCCCAGTGTTTAAACAGCATCGATGAATCCATTCCAGGCTGCCCAGCCTTTGGTAAAGAGGTCACTGAAAATTCCCTAATGCATTTTCCTTCAGGTAGGGTTCAGAAGAGGGTAGGTTTAACTTCTGCTGAGAGGAAGATTCGAGAAATCCACGAAAGATTAAACAATTGCGACTCTCAAAACTCCCATCTACAGAAAATGCAGCCTGTGGCAGTCAAAATAAAATGGTGTGGAACTGAACTCCTGGTTAAAATGACCAAGCGCATGAACAATTACCCCTCATATAGCAAGCTTTTGAAACCCAGGGGTTGATCTGTGTAGCTGTCATGCCTTGCATTTGCTACTGGGCAAATGATCTAAAATAATTCTGTCTGATGTCATCACAGAAATAAGGTATTTTTAAGGGGGGGGAGGGGCTTAAAGGGTAGTGCTTTGACTCCTATCATACCTTGCCCCTTGGAAGTTAATTAATGAATGTTTGCAAATCAACCTCCCATACCACGTTAGCCTGGAGTAAACTGAGGCACAGAGAAGTTCAGGCACTCGCCCAAGTATCAGTGTTGATGGCAGAGCAGGGAATCCCAACTCCTGCCTTCTACCTACCAAGAGAAATCTGCTGCTCCTTTCATGATCACTTAGAAAAATGCGATATTCCTTGTATCTGCAGAATTTGGACCTACAAGGTATTTGCAAAGTTTCTTGTTAACAAAATATAGCAATTCTATAACACTGTTCAACTGCAGAGTATTTGCAACCATCACAGCTTCCTTGAGAAGCAGGTAAAATGTTACTCTTCTGCGGTGGTGACCCCATGTCAGGCAGAATCTAGGAGCTGGTCTGCACCGTGGCAGCAGCAGGGCCTGGTGCCAGCAGGACCAAGCATGACCTGCCCACTGATGTAATCCAGACATGGAAACTCAGAGATGAGGCTGCTTCAGGCTCATCCCCATCGGCTTCTGTCAGTCCCACTGGAAACCAATGGCTTGAGAGCGGGAGCCCAGAGCAGCCACATCAGCATGCTTCTGGGTTTGGAGTGTGACTGCAAGCAGGTGTGCTAAGCTCCGTCCTCGCTGCATCCTGCCACCACTGTCACATAGACATGCTCCACGTGTTGTTTGCTGTTGGTCTGAAACTCTAGTCTCCAGGGCACGTGGCCCAATAACAGTTATTCTGAATGTGCATGTCACCAATCTAGCAGTACTGCGGAGGGCTAGCCGGGGCCTTGGACACACACATTACATTTGTAGCAGTACAAAAAAGTGAGTGTCCACACATGCAAGCCATTTGCATTGCCACAGAAATGGTGGACCTACCACTACAACATCCCTTTTTCAGAGAGGAATTTCATTGTAGCCCTGTGTTTTGTGGCACTATGTGTAACGTGTACATAGTTACAGCGCTGCAGGGGGGGTCTCAGACCCCCAGCATCACACAGTCCACTGCTCTCCCTCCCACCTGGCAGAGGGGAAAGGCTGTTGGGAGCAGGGGGGGACCTAAGGAGCAGCCTTCTGGCTGGAGAGCAGGCCTTTAAGGTGAATTTGTAGAACTCCAGCCAGGGAGCTGTGCATGCGTGCACGTCCCCATGGCACTTTATTTTTGTAGAGGTACAAAGTGGTTCAGTATTCTGGACTTGCATTCATGTGTAGTGCTATAATGCCTAAAATAGCAATGAGGTAATTCAAATAACGGTCTTGTAGCCCCTTTGCCGATTGGAACTTGCTCTTGCTTTTGCCTAGAATGATGGGCTCTGTCTTCCAGCACTTGCCTCTCAACCAAAACTGGGCATTTTTCTAGGAGATAAAGCAGCTCAAACAGAAGTCACAGCCTTGATTCATAAATCGCTGGGGTAACGCACAGCAAGGTCCAGCTGGGTGATTCTAACATCCGCTTTTATTCTGCCTCCTCCCAGGCTCCTTGAAGCCCAGCTCCAGGATCAGAGACGAGAGCACGAAGAAGAGGTGGAGGCTCTGAAAGCTCAGGTGGAAGCTATGAGAGAGGAGATGGAGAAACAGCAACAGGCCTTTTTCCAGACCCTTCAGCTCTCCCCAGAGGCCCAGGTGGAGTTTGGTCTTCAGCAAGAAATCACACGTCTCACTAATGAAAATTTGGTAAGGGACTGTGTAAGAGACCAGTTTCCTTTGTGGTCGATGCTGTCAAACCAGATCTTGAGGCGATGGGTTAAAAAAGGAAAGTGGTAAAGGCAAGAATGTGGTGTCCCTCCGTCCACCCTTGCATGCACGGGTTTGCAGAGCTACTCTAGCATAAGTGGTCTGCAGGCCATTAGCTACATGATTAGTCCTGAGCACTCCCCGCTGGTCAGCCCCGCAGCATTTTTAGGTCGTTACTGAGCACTGAACCACTAGTTTATAGAAGTGGGAGGATGACTTGCGCTGTGTGTTGTAAAGGCCCCATTTTCCCAAGTACCCCTGTGACAACGTGCCTTCCCCTACACACTCACACTACACTTACCGAATGAAATGGCTTATGGCCATGGACTGGCCCTATACCCTTCAGGAGGGAAAAATAATTTCCTCCAGTTGCAGCAGTTACTCGGTGGAATTTTATGGCTCATGCTACACAGGAAATTGGACCAGGTGATTGTAGTTGTCCCTTCTGGCCCTAAACCTCTGAATCTTGGGGGCATTATTTATAGTAAAATATCCGAGGTATAAAACCTTGGTGCTTTGAGTCTGAGTGGATGGGTTGGTGCTGCTTGGGGAACTTTATCATGGTCAAACTGATGAAATCAATACCATAAGAATTTAAATGTGAATGATGGCAAGGAAGCAGACTCTCTCAGGTGGTAAATTGTAAATAGCTGTGCATTGCTTCTGAGAGAAGTTGACTAGGGAGAGCTGGGTTTGTGTATGTGGGATGTGTAGAGGGCACTGAAGAATGATCCTAAATGGTCCTAAACTGTCACAGGGACAGAGAGCCCTTTTGAGGCTTATTTGGGGCAACAGTTACCACTTGTCTGGGCTAGGAAAAGTACCTCTTACAGTGAAACAAAAATGGCCTGCTCAGCGTGCCACCTGTTTGAACGTTTGTCCTGCGTCCAGGGCGTTACCGGCAGCTCATAAGTCTTAGCAGTAAGAAACCCCAGGGTTAAGAGAAGCTTTGGTTCACTGATGTCACTGGAATGGAGGCAGGATCAGGCCCAGGATTTGCCCCACACCTTATAGATGGCACTTCTGCTGGTGCCTTAAAGGCAGAGCAGCCCATCCTGACCTCACCACAAACAGTCCATCGTTTGAATGATGATCAGCATTTTACGTGGCCGTGGAGAGGAGGGGATGACTGACAGCATGGGGAGGTAGGAACATGAGAAGAGCCATACTGGGTCAGACCAGTGGTCCATATAGCGCGATCTCCTGTCTCCGATAGTGGCAAAAGTGGATGTTAGATCAATGGTGCTCAAGCTTTTGGCCCTACAAGCCAGATGAGTGGTATAGGACTAGTTTGCAGGTTGGACCAAGCCCAATGCACTGGGATTGGGCCCTGGAGCTGGCACCTCTCCCTCCCTGCCCCAAAGTGCTGGGACTGGGCCCTGAAGCCCTACACTGCCCCTGCTTGCCAGGATTGGGCCCTGGGGGCCTGGTACTGCCCACCCCCACAGGTTGGGATTGGGCCCCAGGAGCCAGGTGCCCTTGAATGACCAAGCTGAAGGCAGAACTCTGGATCTGCTCAGATGCAAGTGGGGCGAGTGAGTCTGTGCCCAAAGGCTGTTGAAGTGCAGATCTGCTCTGCGGAAATGATCTAGCACCTTCTATTCAACAGCTGTGCTCCCAGCCCGTGTGCAGTCGCACATGCCGATGTCGGGAGCAAAACTATGGTGTAACACTGTTCACTCCCTAAGGGCCTGATCATGCAAAGTGCCGAGTACTTGTGTTTCCACTAGATTCGATGGGAGTTGAGGGAAATCAGACCCTAACACCGGCCCTAACGCCATAATTTTTGTATCCGAAAGTTGCTACCGGGGACTGGAGCCTGTCCTATAACTCAAAACAGCAGCATGTAAAAAAAAAAAAAAACAGCCGAAATGCTGTCCTCCTTTTTTTTCTTCTTCCCCTCTCACAGTGCTTCCAAGTTTGCTAATCCTATGTGTACACCAAAGAAGCAACTCAGAGGGCATGATGAATTGGGCTGGTATTGACTGCAATGGACTTTGCAAAGAGAAATCAATAGCTGGTTTTCAAGTGCTGCTTGTATGTCACTTGGCTAATTTTTCAACTCTTTACTACTTCACAAAAACACAACTCAGAACAGTGGGCGAGCAAGTGCCGTTTTGACCCAGTACATGCAGCCACTTCCCCTGTTGCAGTGGGAGTGTCCAAGGCCCAAGGACTACAGATCACCATGGATTTGACAGGTCTGAAGGGCAGATGCTTTGTCTCTGACCCAGGGATTGACCTGGAGAGCGCTGCACACATCAGGGCTCCTGGTCAGAGTACAGAAGTCTCTCATTGGGAAGAATAATTGTCAGATGAGCTCCATAGCCCAGCTACTTTCCTACAGGAAGCTTTGTGAAGTGTGTGCGTGTGTACACGTGCACATAACCCTTTCCCTGTTTTGCAGGATCTCAAAGAGTTGTTGGAAAAACTGGAAAAGAATGAGAAGAAGCTTAAGAAACAGCTGAAGATTTACATGAAGAAGGTCCAAGATTTTGAAGGTAGCTCTGTGTTCTTGTTGGTTTCTTTGAGGGAAGTGGAATTGAAGATTAGAATCTGGGTTTTGTTCGACCCCCACAAACTGCAGAGCTTGTGCTGGTCCCATTAGCCACTCTTGGGGACACTAGACTTCACTCTCAGCCTCTCGAGGTTATTTTTGGAACATGCTGGGAACTTTAAAGGGCATGCTGGTAGCCCAGGGCCCAGCCCCCTGGCCATCAGGCAGTCTGAGAGTCCTTTGAAGATTTTGGCTCCCAGACCTACTGGGTGGGCTGGGTTTTTTTCCCCCCTGTGGAGAACTTTTGTTGGATGACCCATTTTTATGGTAGGGCAGCTTCATTTATCTTGGGGGGGAAAAACATTCTTTAGTGTCTGGCATGTTACCATGTGTCATGGGGAAACTCTCATATGTCCTGTGACTTGTAGGTGGCCTTGGATGCTTTTGCCTGGCAGTTACATCCTGTCTGTAGAAAAAGCAGACTTCCACCTCCTGGCTCCTCTGCCTTGACCTTGAAGTATCCCCTGTGTGGCTTTTTGTAGATGCGTAGTTAGACGTGTATCTTCAGAACTTGCCACTTCAGCTCTCCACGTAAAACATGCGTGTGGAAAGTGGGTAGCGGCTTTGAAGTGGGGTTTTCCAACCAAACATTTTTGAGCCTTAGTTTTCAAGCTATGAAAATTTGTCTATGCAGCCTGTGGTAGTCTTTCTTCCCTCCCCCCCGTCTCCCCCTTTACACTGAGGACAGGTTTATCTTTGGTTTAATTCCATTGACTTCTGCAGAATGAGGCAAAATTAGCAAATTCACTGGTGGTTTTTGCTGAATAAGGAAGCTTTACGATTTGGTGAATGCAAGGTCACCGTGATTCCTCACACTCGGGTCATAGGAGACATCAGTTTAGGGATATTGATCCTAAAACATTTCAGCTCTTTTCACCTTACCTGAGAGAGAGAAGAGCTTTCCAGGCCTCCAAAAGCTGCTAAGCTTGACAAGCCTGTTGGCTCCCTTTATCTTGCTGTCCTCCTTTTATTCACCGTTCTTGCCTCCTGGGAGTCATGAGCCATTGAGCCTGCTTCTTGGGAGGCAGTGAAACAAGAGCTTTCAAGGTAGCAGCTCATCTGTAATATTGAAGGTGGGTGTGCTGCATCTGTATGCTGAACTTGAATGGGTTTTTGAAAAGTGCTGCCTGCAGTTTCTTGTGACTTCTTTCCATGCAAAAAAAAAAAAAAAAGAGAGAGAGAGATCTCCATTTTTGGCCCGAGGTTTCCTTGGCCATCCTTACAATGGGTTTCCTTAGCTTATCCTGTCATTGCTGCCTTGGCATTCTGGATCCTCGAGGGGTGGCTGGGGCATGGATAGTACCCTCTTCCTTTGCAGTTCCTCTTCAGTCCACCCTCTTTGGGACTCTTGCTCTTTAGAGGCTCCTGAGGAGCTTTCTTTATTGCTGTTACATTGCCTTCGATAAAATCTTGCTGTGTCAGTGACCTGTTTCAGTCAAAGTCTTTCCTATCCAATCAGCCCCGATCACGGGAGTTAGGAATGTGCAGGCATGCAGAACCAGATACCAGCTCTCACTTCCTAGCAACATTTGGGATTTGGGGCATTGTTGTGACAGTGACAAAAGCATTTGCTGGGAACGCTGTTCATAGATCTTCCTTAGGCTCTTTCTTAGATCTAATTCAGACCTATGTCTTGATTGATTGAATGTAATTTAAGAAGCAAATGCTCTTGTCAGATACACCTTGCATCTCTCTGCTTTGACCTACAGACTAGTCACCAGTTTGTTCTCCAAACAGTCTGTCAGAGCCAGGCTTCCTTCTCTCTCTCTGTCTGTCTCTCTCTGTCTCTCTCTCGACTGAGGGAACAGAATCGGAACCCAAGTTTTTGAGCCTACAGGTCACCCTTGAACTGCAGTATGGGCTATTTAAAATAACTTAAACTATTTTCATCTAATTGGTCTAAACCTGAGGACAGAGGCAACTGGGTGGTTTCTTCCCAAATTCCACTTTGCATTGATTTCTGTGGACTTCCAATCAGACCCTTTTGGGCTCATCTTCTTCCAAAGGGCCATAAACAAATTAACAGATGCAAGACTAAGGGCTCACAGAATTGAGGAAGGCAAAGATAGATGATCGGTGCTCGCTAGAAGGCAGTTGGTACAGATTGTGGGATTTCAAGCAGTCCTTTTAACATATCTGGGAAGCCTTTTGACTTTTACTACAGTCTGTGTTGCAGCCCATAAAGTGTTTCGGAAGAAAACTCCTATTACTGGTAAAAAGCTGTGTTCTGTCAATGCCATAGAGATATATTTCAGAGAGGCTCTGGAAAGAAATGATCCAGGCTTGAGGAGACAAATATAAGACCTCTCTGGCACAGAGACTATTTATCTTCTGCCGTTGATACAATGATTAACTGTGGTGCTTGGATTCTTTAAACTAATTTCTGAAAACTAGACATTAAGTGAAATTAAGCTGAATAAATAGGGAATTCCACAGTAGTGCAGCTGGCACAGATGGCTTTTGTCACTGTAATTTAAAGGCCTCAGACTGACATTTAGTACATTATGTGCATTATGCCTTCATAATCTTTCATTTTATTAAAATTTTATGCAAGTATAATCCTCAGTAGTGTTCCACAGGAGGTTTTTGATTTTGCTTTGCAGCCTGCTGCAAGCTAAACAGCTCAGGCATATCTTCCCAAAGCCTGACTTCTTGTTAGTGGTAGAAGTACATTTGTAAAATGACTCCAATAGGGTCACCATGTTCCAGGGGTTGTCTGGGCTCCCTTAATAGATGTAAGGTTTGTTAATGCTTCTAGTATTTTAGACCTGATTTCTGTATCCTTTACTTAGCCAATGAGCAATCTGCCTGAAGGTGTGGTTCAAGAATTGCTGTTTCAGTAGGCCTATCAAAAGCAGGGGACCTTCTAACAAACTGGTATATCGCAAGTCACATGAGGCTTAATCTAAAAGCTAGGATATCAAATGAGAGACTTGGAGAACTTCAGTGGGCTTTGGGTCACAAGTGAATCATAGAAGTCCTGTGTAGATGAGGCATTCAGCTGGCTTCAGGAAGGTCTGTGGGTTTTTTTCCACAGCAACCCAAGCAACGGTACAGACAGAGAGGAAGCGACAGGAGCTTACCAGGCAAGTCACTGTCCAAAGGAAGGAGAAGGATTTCCAGGGGATGTTGGAATATCACAAGGAAGATGAGCCACTACTCGTCCGGAACCTCATTACAGGTGAGGACTTGGCTTTGCCTCTTGTTCCAGTTCCAGTGCCCTTTCTTTCTAAACCATTTAAACCAGGGCTGCCCAGCTGGTGGCCAGGGGGCCACATGTGGCCCATGAGGGGTCAGTTTGTAGCCCATGGCTCCCACCTGGGTGCTGCTCATTGCGCTCTCATTGCTTCAGCTGCAGCAGCATCCAGGTCTTGGGGCTCCCCCTTTCTCCTCTAACTTCTGCTTCTTGCCACTACCCCAGAGGGCAGGGAGACATGGCATGGCCCATGGTGCTGGGGTGCCTGCATGGTGTGATGCAGTGGGGAGCTGAGGGTGGGGGCCTGAGTGCCTGTATGGCATGGTGCAGTTGAGGAACACGCATGTCATTCAGTCCAGGGGTCCCATGGCTCACCTGATGCATCCCATGTGATATGTGGCCCTCACTGCTGCAGTTTGCATTCATTTGAATGAGTTGGATCACTTATTTGGAGCTTTAACATAGCTTAGTACTTGCAAGTTCTCTCTAAATGAAGGGTACAGAAGAAACACTGTGGGACTGTAGCTATGCAGCCAAGACCCCAGATGCAGCATTGCACTTTGCTCACTAGGAAATCCTTCATTGCAAAGCAAGAGACTGAGCATGTGCGCTACTGATTTAAAACTCAGAATTAAGAACTCATTTACAGGTTGATCCCCAGGGGGCAGGGAGTGGTGTCCTTTAACTGAGTCTTTTCACATGGCTTGTCAAATGCAAGCTGGAATGTTTTGTTCATTTAGTATCTTGTCAGACTAAATGAATATAGTTAGTTCTCACATGCACATGGTACAGGTGAAATGCATAAACCAACACTGGGTCTTTTCTTTGATTCACATGACATATTAAGTCCTTACTCAAACCATTTTGTATAAATGACCCTTTAATATTATATATGCTGATACCTTAGAGCTCCACAGTGCTGTGTAAATAGACAAAAAAACCGAGCCAAATAATGCCTACTTCGAGTTTACAGCTGTGAACATTGTTGAGGATTCTTAACATTTCTATAAATGAGCATCCAGGTTTGGCTTTTATTTTTTGAATCCAAAACTGAGGGTACATTTAAACCTTGAAGTAAAGCAGTTGTCTTGGAGCTGGTGGCCCCTCTCCAGCTGTGTACCCCCTCTGGATAGAATTTGAGCCCTGGTTTGGTACTGTATGAACATATGAGGACTGCATTTGCTAGGACATGCATGCTCAGCCTGACCTGTGAAGAGTCTGAGTCTATTTGGGAATCAGGGTCATCTCCTAAGAGCTTTTCTAGTGATGATCACGCTCAAGCATTCCCTAGAAGCAAAGTGTGGGGGCTTTAGTCAGGTTTATAGACAGGGCTGTGCTACCTTGGGGCAGTCTCTTCAAACTGCCAGCAAGCTTTGAGGTCTTTATAATTAGTCACGTTCCCTGGTTGTCTAGCAGATTTATTTCCCTTAGTTCAGAAATCTTGAGCCATTTCTAATTTTGAAGCTAGCCCCTAGCTGTGTGTGTTCAAAGCACCTGCAGGAGGTGCTCAGAACGTTGCAGCATTGGTTCCTGAAGGAAAGGAGAGAACTTTTAATTGGATCACAGCAGCAACCTCCTTATCCATTCAGCCCATAGAAACACCCCCTTTGTGTGCTCTCTTCCCCCTCAGTAGTGTGCCTTCAGTTCAGTGGCATTTATCTCATTTACTAAATCTGTGTTAGTAAAAGTAATGCCTTTATAGCAAACTGATTGAGTTCAGTGGAGTTGCACCAGGGATCAGTTTGCCCTGATGGGTTGTCATTCTTTTATTCTTAGATATAATTCTTACTCAAGGATGACAAAGCACTGAGAGTGCTAATATGAAGCTGTATGTCTTAAATCGAGCAATAACAATTGGCCTTCTCAGGATGGGTTGACATACAGACAGGTGGTATTGCAGTACAGATCTTCAGCTTTTTGCAGATGGATGACATAGAAACAGTTTGCTGTATTAGTCTCGGGTCTCTGCACGAGCAATCTCAGACCTGTTACTTATGCTGAAAGCTTTGGTTGGAGCTGCGGCTGGCCTTCTCCCCTCCACTGTGCTTAGGTTTGTGTCCAGCTAGTGCTTATGGTCTCCCTGATTATGAGTGATTCTAACAAAACTCTAAAAAAAAAAAATAAAAAGCAATAAGCACACAGCAATTTATACATAAAGTTATTATTCAGACAACCTCTGCTTTCATGTCTAAGGGGTATAATCTTGATTCAGTGTCTTGAGAGAGAGTAGATGTACAAAGCACTGGTCCTGAAGTTTATGCAGCAGTAGTATAGCTTGTCCCAAGTATTTCCAAAGACTTTTCTGGTATTTTTCTAAGGTTATGTTTGTATTGCAGTTGGAGGTGTGGAAGACCTGCCCTGGCTTTCATCTAGCCAGCTGGTGCAGCAGTGGCAGCAATGATGTGGTAGCATGGGCTTGCATGCAGGCTGCTCAATCTCTCCAGGTCGCTCAGTCTGTGAGAGCCTGTGCAGACAGTTTCCCTGCTACCTAGTGCTTGAGTCAACTAGACTAGAACTGGGTTGGGTACCTCTGCCTGTGCTCCGGTTGAGCCTGCCATTGCAGTGGACACCTAGCTTGAGATAAGCTTGAGTTGGAGAGTTCATATCTGAACCTCTCCAGATGTGTGTGGAATACATGCTGATTCAGACACTTCTCCGTGTTGCCTGTTGTGTTCCTCTAACTAAGTCAGGCTGTAAGAGGATTCTTCTTTTCCTATTTGTAGATCTCAAGCCCCAGACCGTTTCCACCACAGTTCCCTGTCTTCCTGCTTACATCCTCTACATGTGCATCAGACATGCAGACTACGTCAACGATGACCAAAAAGTGCACTCCTTGCTCACCTCGACCATCAACGGCATTAAGAAAGTATTAAAGGTACAAGTCTTATTTGTATTAATAACAGCATGAAGTTAAACTGCTCAAATTGCCTAGCTCAGAACCAGGGTCCTTAGATGTGCATGCAGTGTAACCTGGAGATCGTAGACAGTTTTAATGTCCAAGACCAGTTTCAAATTGCAGTTGATCTCTTCATCTCCTCATAAGATGGGTTTTATATCTTAAAGGTTATATAACATAGGTTGGTAGTAAGCAGGGAGTGATTTGCCAAAGAACACACAGTAAGTTGTCACAAGCAGGCATTAAAGCTTGTTGCATATCTGTTTGGTTCACAAGTTCTCTTATTTGTGCCTCAGCTCCTTTCTGGTTAAGAGAGGTTTTTGTTCACACTGTGAATGAAGACCTAGGGCAAGTTAGGTACAGGGCGGCAGCAATGGAGGTTAAATTTGAATAGCCACTATATATAGCACAATGTCTTGTGTAGAGGTGCACTGATGCATCAGTCCAATATCAGATTGGCACTGATATAAAGAAAATTGACTATACAGGAAACTGGCCTGTTGTGGCCAATAATTTGGCCAGTAAAAGCCTGTGCACCGCAGCACAGCACGCAGGCAGCAAGGAGCACAGCCCAACAGTGTGGAGAGCTGCGCAAAGCTGGTAAGCCTGTTGTAGTGAAAAGGGAGGGGAAGGTGGAGGGAGGGAGCAGATCAACGCCCCCTGCGGTGAGGGAGGGAGGGAGGGAGGGAGTCAGCCTGGGGCCAGGGCAGGCCACAGGACAGAGCCACGGCTCATCCGGGGGGGGCAGCAGGGTGACTCCCGTCACTCTGCACTGCTCATTTGGTGGCTTGTCCGGCAGCTCCTGCCGCTTGTGTCGGAGGACATGGTGGGGGAAGAGCATGTGCCCCTGGATCTGTGCAGGGCGGGCTGTAGCTGCGGGCTGGGGACTGCACTGTCCTGTGCGCCGAGCAGGCGGGGGGGGCCTCTATGGCAAAATTTGGGGTGGCTGTAGCCCCCCCCATAGCCCCCTCCCAGTGCTGCCACCACCCACCCTGAGTGCAGAGCTGCAGCCTCCCTGGCCTGTCCAGCATAGATCTGGGGGCACATGCTCCCTGGCCTCCCCCAAGCTGGGCAGCACCTGCCCCAGCCCCACTCCCTCCCTTACCATGGGGGGTGTTGATTTGCACACTCCCTCCATGCCACTTCCTTCCCCACTCCCCTTTTACCACAACAGACTTGCCGGCTGCACACAGCTGTATCAGAAATCAGATCGGTATCAGCTGATGTCCCTCCTTAAAAATTGGTTATCAGTATCAGCCCGCAAAATTTCTATCAATGCACTCCCAGTCTCATGGCACTTAGGCCACAGAGGTGGGGTCCCATTTTTGTCAGTGGCATCCTAGTGAGGAGTCATTCATCCTAGTAGAGAGTCCTTCCTGATCCCTATAGGTGATCTTCTTATGCTTCAAAGTATGTGATTTTGATTAGTTCATATAAATAAAATGGGTCAGGCCCTGCTCTGCTCTATATTGTGGCAAGCCCAGGATAGCTCCAGTTGTCTGCCTGACATGGTTGTGGTTTTATACTCTTTATCCAAAGAGTGGGATTTGGTACTCTGGTTGTCAGAGTAAGCGTCAGCCAGCTCTTGTATAGGAATGGAAAGAATGTGCCCTTTGGTACCGCTGAGCTTTGTGTGCATGTAGGTCATAGAGCTTTGCGTGCACAAAAAGCCTTGTCTGAATAGACCCACTGCACCTGCTGAAGGGGAAGCTCACGTTTAATTTTTCTCTTCGCAGAAACACAATGATGACTTTCAGATGACGTCGTTTTGGCTGGCTAACACGTGTCGCCTCTTGCATTGCCTAAAGCAGTACAGCGGGGATACGGTAAGGAGCTCTAAGAGGAAGTGTATGGCCACATTTTTAAATGGCGTTGTTCCTTCCGCAGGCTGTGTTGTCTCACGGCTTTGCTCAGGCTATAGTGTAGGACTCTCAGTAATCATGCTGAAATGGTAAATAGCCTTGAGGGCTTGTTACATTCAGGGCTTGACTTTGATGTAACTCAGGATGGCCCCAGTGACAAATCCATGAAGACTGGCTGGAGTAAAACTGGCTTCAGAGCAGAATTTGGGCCCCTTAAAATGTAATGCAATGACCTTTCCCTCGAGTTCTGTTAATATGGGAATGTCACACTTGCAATTAAACTCCCAGTTTATTTCTGATTGGAAAAGTTGCTTTCTTTGGGCTCATTCTGAGAGTACTCGCAACTATTTCAGCAGGTTTTTCATGCAGTCAGCCTGTAGCTTTGGGCTTTTCATTCATTTGACCTTTTTCACAGAAGAAAAGTTCAAAGAAATTTCCTCTCCCTCTCCCCCACACCCCTGTTGGGGCTTTGTTTTTTTTTGTGGGGGGGGAGCGCTAATAACTTATGCTTACTGCCTTGATATCATTTTGTAGGTCTCTCACATCTTCAATTTGTCAATCTACTTTGATCTCCTGTGACAGACTCGGATTATCACAGCTGACATAATATAATGCATGTTTACACAGTATCTAATCACAGGGGCATTGAGGAGATGTGTTTACAGCCATATGGTATGGTACTAGCATTTGGAACAGAGCCACGGTAGCTTCCTTTTAATTGACTCTTGATATATGTCGTTAACCAGTGTGTAGTCAGGCTTCAAAGGATACAGGGAAGAAGACTTGTCTAAGATGAATGTTGCCTTAGAATCAGGACACAGTGGATTCTTTAGGTTTTAGTGTCTTTATGAAAATCAGGTTTGTATTGCCAAGATTTTTTTTTTTAATAGAGGAACTGTGGTTGCGGCTTGGTTAACAATGATTTTTACTTCTCAGTGCCCTCTGCTGTCTCTGTAGCAATATTACATTTAACTACAGCCCCTGTAACTAAAACTGCACGTCTTTTTTGGAGTAGTAATTTGTCTGCCAAAGATGCAGTTTCAGGTTGACCACAACTATTCACAAAGGGCACATGCAGAAATGACATTTGTCGCACAGTTGGCCCTTTGAAAGCGCTCTAAAGCTGAGCCCAAACAGAAGAGCACAGCTGCGGAGCCCTCTGATTACATGACAAATTAACCCTGAGTGGAGTGACTAAATTTGTCTGCTTCAGCAGTTTGGTTTTATGACGTACTATATTTCCCCCATCTTAGTGGTTAGTCCTTGGTTCTTAGTGTCCAACCAGCTTAGAAATGTGTGGTCCCAAGTTCACCTTTTAAAGGTATGAGGTAGATTAGTGAGGTCAGAGGGGGTGTGGTTGTTTTGCTCCTAATGGGGTGGGGGGTATCCTTTATATTTTTTTTTATGAGTATTCAGTCAGGTGCATAGTTGGTGTTTAGTTTCACCTGCATAGTTGCCATTGCAGTGGTGCATTGGATCAAATATATCACGTTTTGGGAAAGATATGTAGGAACTATGAATGCTGATGGTTTTGTTATGGGGAGGTGTTGATAGTAGTGGCAGGGGAGTTGTTTATTATTTTGATATTTGACTGATTTAGCTTATCAAATGTTTTGCTTCAAATTAGTGTTGATCATCCAAAAGAGGATTGTTTTTTTTCCCAAGAAAGCAAACATTTTTCTTGCAGGTTAACCCCAAATTATCTTGCTTTTTGCTTCATTTAGAGAACCGGGGAAAATTATTACTCGCACAGCTCCTGTTTTATTGCAGCTTGGCAAAGCCGTTGTACAAACAAGTATATTAACATGAGTTATGCACCATGCTCACTTCAAACAGAGGTTATGCTGCTTTATATCTACCAGCAAGGACCACATTCAGAGTCCACTGATTTCAGTGGCAATATGATAATACATTTGTAGTATCAGGGCCTTGAAAATACAGGGGGAAAATTCAACTGGTGAGGGAAATTCATAAACTTCTTAGATGGTGTTATCAAAACCATAGCTGCAAGCACTGGAAGACGCCTGCAAAAAGTCAGAGTTGTTAATCGGGTAGCAAATAAGTGAATCAAGAAGTCAAGATATCATTTTATTATCATGCAAATATTTCAATTGTTACAGAAGTTTTAACCCTGTGGTTAAAATATTGGCTCCTGGTGGCTTTGAAGTATGTGTTCACAGTATAATGAATAAATAGCGTTTAATGAAGAACTGACGAGGCATTTTCAGTGGGACACATACTTTATCTTTTAATTAATGCACATTTTTTACCTTTTTAGTAAAAATTAAAAGGAGGGTGATTAGTTAATAATATTTCTCTTTAAAGAGGGAAAATCCATTGTGAATAAGCTGTTAAATAAAGCTTAGATCATTTATGTCTTTCTTTATAGCTGTTAGTTCAAAAACCACAGTAGGTAGGAAGACAAACTTTTCTAGATATGCTTTTTTTAATATAATGTTAATGGCCTGTACTAAAGTGGAATGATCAAGCAAGTACTGTTGTTTTCCTCCTTTTAGGGTTTTATGACACAGAACACTGCAAAGCAGAATGAGCACTGTCTGAAGAACTTTGATCTCGCAGAGTATCGCCAGGTTTTAAGTGACCTCTCCATTCAGATCTATCAGCAGCTTATTAAGATAGCAGAAGGCATGCTGCAACCCATGATAGGTAAGTATGCAACACTTAAGCTTTTAGGGACATTAAGGCTGCTTACAGATATATATATATTTTTTAAAGTGCTTTACTGGAAGAGGCGGTGCATTCGTTCGACCCAGCTTTGCAGCATCTGTATAGATTGGGTGCTTCAGTGGGGCTTTTTGGCATTTTTTATCTAAAGCTGATTCACTCAGCTATTAGATAAGTGCCAAAAATGACCCACTAAAGCACAGGCGTGTAGGTTGTAGCCATGTTGGTTTAAGGACATAGGCAGACAAGGTTCCTTGGGTGAATCTGACGAAGGGTTTTTGAACCTGAAAGCTTGCTTAATAATTATTTTCCAGCTATTTGCGTTGGTCTAATAAAAGATATCAGATTCACCCAAGGAACCTTGTCTGCCGCTAAAGCACCTGATTTATACGGATGTTGGGTGAGCTGGGTCCAACTAACGCAATGCCTCTTCTGGGTATATGCTGGGCTTGGTGCAGGAGTGGGCTGACTTTAAAGTAAAGCACCTTTTATTTTTAAACATCTTTAAGCAGCCTTATGTCTTAACTAAGGTGGCATTAAAAAGGTATAGTTTAAAAAAAAAGACCATAAATCTTTGGGCACATCTTCACATTAATGGTTGCGTACTTGAAGTAAATGAAAATGACAGTACTTCAAGTGATACTGTTTTTAAACTTTAACCCCACTATTTTAAGCAGCAATGTAGCTACCAAGTCCAAACTGCAGGACCAAATAAAATATCCCATGAGAAATTAAGTCTATTTTGATTTACAATCAATATAAGAAAAGAGAATATACCTCCAGAACTGCTTTGTCCACCTCCCTCTATGGAACTATTTATATTAACAATTTTGTAGCTGTGAGGCTGTCATCACTTCCCTGAGACACCAGCCTGGGGTCTAATGGACTACATTGTTTGCAAATGTTTACCCTTTATTCTTTCAGAAAGGTTTTCCAACAGCTTCTATCCATTCCCTTTCTGACATCACATCTTGTGCTCTGTTGTGCTTCTTGTTGAGAACAGTATTCCTCCATGAGTTATCACATTGCCAGGTTATAAGAATTTACCCCTTTCCTCATCTCTGTTATCTCAAGCCACTTAATCTTTTTAAGTGCAGGATGTAAGGTTGGGTATTGGAAATATAGTGAAAATGTATTACATCTCATTGGAGAGGTGTTTGTCATTCCTACAGTGTGTTAACTGAGTTCTTCTGTTTTTAATATTAATATCTGGGACCTTATCTTCACAGTGCTTTATAGCTATTAACTACTTAATCTTCTCAACACACCATTGAGGTAGGGAGAGTCAGTTTAATTGTCCCCACTTACAGATGGAGGAAGGCTAAGTAACTCTCCAAGGAGTTTGTCAGAGCAGATAGTAGAAATTAGCAGTCCCTGCCTCCAAGTCCTCTCTCCAGTTGGTTCAGTTGGTTATTGTATTGCATTAACAAGTAGTGCACTAAAAGCTGGCAGGCTACAGGCACTAGTAATGTAAGAAATCATTCCTTGTGCTGCCAGGGGAAATGCAGGCTTCATCTCCATCTTTTCTGATTTTTTGTCGTAGTGTCAGCAATGTTGGAAAACGAAAGCATCCAGGGCCTCTCTGGTGTGAAGCCAATGGGCTACAGGAAGCGCTCCTCCAGCATGCCGGATGGCGACAACACCTACAGCTTAGATGCGGTCGTTCGCCAACTGAACACCTTTCACAGCATCATGTGTGAGCAGGGCCTGGACCCGGAGATCATCCAACAAGCCTTCAAGCAGCTGTTCTACATGATTAATGCTGTCACGCTGAACAACCTCCTGCTGAGGAAGGACGTCTGCTCATGGAGCACTGGCATGCAGCTCAGGTAGGATGTTGGCTGAGGCCCTGATAAGGAGACAACTGCTTGTGAATCTTGTGAATCTGGAATGCTGCAGAATAGGGAAGGGAATCTTATGGGATCTGCAAAGCTGTGTGAAATGGAACAAGGAAACCATAAGAGACCAACAGTACAAGAAGCTGCACACATTTGCTGATATATGTAACTGCAGTTACATATATCACATAACTGTGTAATGGATGGTTTGCTTCACCCATCTCATTTCAGGGTTTGTTACAGTGCCTGATTTCTTAAATTGCAATATTGGACATTTCTAACATGGCAAATGTTAGGGTCCGTCCTGCTGTTACAGCTGTGGAGACAGACTCTGCATCGCCCCTCTGGCCTCAGACAGGCTCTCCGAAGGCCTGAGGGTCTGCCCTGCAGATCCAGTTATGAAGTCGGGGTGCCAAGTAGCTGTCTTACCTAGAGCTCCTTTTGCAGTGATCAGAAATTCCAGAGTGTAATTAGCACAAACTTGCAAAACAGCCCCAATTGTTTACCAGCCTTTTACCTTAAATGAAGATTTAAAATAAGCATCTCATTGACCTTGTTTCTCAAAATCACAGATTTCACACGGTCTGTAAATCCCTCCTTGTTGTGCCCTGCTACTGCTACAGTCACTGTGGTTAGTCTAAGTTGGGCAGAAGGCAGGGCTGGGTGGCACCTTGGGGGCTAACTGTTTGAGGCATGAGCTTTTGCACGTAACAGCCTACTTCATTCTACTTTGTCCAATCCTTGTGAAGTTCTGGACAACCTAACCCAAATGCATCACAAATATGCATCAAAATCTCTGCTCCTTCAGCACTGCCACATTTCATTCACTGTAAATGAGCCCTGAGAGGGAGACCATTGAACTAATGTTGTCTGTGTGTGGGTTCAGGTTTAACATCAGCCAGCTGGAGGAATGGTTGCATGGAAAGAACCTGCAACAAAGTGGAGCAGCACAGACCATGGAGCCCCTGATCCAGGCAGCACAACTTCTGCAGCTGAAAAAAAAAACTTCAGAAGATGCTGAGGCCATCTGTTCCTTATGTACATCCCTTACCACGCAGCAGGTAAGCAACCGGGAGGGCATCTGCTTTGAAGCAGGTGTGAGTGGTTCCTTCCCATCCGCTGCAGCAGCAAGGATGCCATTTTGAAGTGCTGTAGGGCATGGCAGTTTTCATGTGCCCCAAGGTCTGAGCAACACACTCCTTTCTCTGATATCCTGGTCCAGTCCTCAGGATATGAGAGTGCTGTTTAAGTGACTAGATGCTGAGCCCCTGCCCCTCCTGGCGTTTAGAGTCTGCTTTCTATATATGGCCATTGCAGGATCAGCCCAGTCTCTGGTGGGTTCTTAGCCAATTTCTTGCACTTCTCCTGTCTTTTCCCCTTCAGTAGCAGCTGTAGGGCCCAGGTGCAATTTCCTTGGATGCAGATGACACTTCCTTTGAGTGTCCCATCTGCCTTGAATTTATGTGGCTGAGGCAGTTCTGATGGGAACATGCTCTGGCAGGCTACTCGTAGTACTTAGTAGCGATGCTTCTTTTATATGCAGTGGACACCCCACTAAAAACATTCCACCCTGTTCAACTGGTGGAAATGACTCCTACAGCAGTATTTTCTAAGTATCTATAGCAGCAGGTGGCCCTGCCACCACTTTTCCGTGTGCCCCAGCTGCAGCATGAGCACAGCTTCTTGCTGCCTTACACAGGAGGAGCTGGTCAGCTCTGCAGGCTGGGTCCCATGGCTCTGCAAGCTGTATGTTTCTGACCCCTGATCTATAGTAGTACTGCCTCAGAGCCTGTGAGCTGTCCTCCAGTTTCACCGTACGCGGAGAAGTTAAGACATTTGTCAGTGTCTACAGCCTCTAGAATAAAAACTTTCTTTTGAACCAGATTTTGTGAGCCCCTTACAAAACAGCTGAATGGGAAGAGAATGGGATCAGATAAGAAATCTATGCCCTGGGGCACTGATTGCTGAAGGGAAGAGTGGGAAAAGCAGTATTCTGTCAGCCTTCAGTTGACAGAAGCTGAGGTGCTACAGGATTGTGTATTGTCATGCACTAACACATGTAGCTGAGCCTGCTCAGACTTTGTAAATGCCATTCATCATTGCTTTATAGTGCTGTTGGTGGGAATGTGGACAGGTCCTGCCCTGAGAGATGTACAGTATAAATCAGTAGTCCTCAAACTTCATGTGATACAGACCAAAATTCACTGACCCTCAAAGCTTTGAGCTCACAGCAAGTGGTTTTTGAGATGACAAAGACTTAAGCTTTTTCTGTTCAAATGTACCTGTTAGATTAATGAGATCTGACCAGGTTTCCATTTAAATCAGTGACAAAACTCCTGTGGACTTCACTGGAAGAGAAGTAAACCCCTAATCTTGCTTGTTCAGTTGTACGCCACTTGATCTGACAGAGAGGCATCGGGCTCAGATCATTTAGGAATAGTACATCCTACCTCTGCAGGAGGACGTCCCTTCTGAGAGTCTGTCCTTGCAGTCATGTGGGACTGGGAGCAGGGGTGGGTGCAGGGTGCTGCTCTTCTACCTTATTAATCCTATCGCTTTCTCCTTCCTTCCCGTTGAACCACCGTCTCTGCAGCCTCTTGAATCCACGTGCATCCTTTTACAGCAGCTGTGTTGAGTGAGTGAGGATCATAGGGCCTCAAGGATGAGAAGCTCTAGGACTGTTAGGGCCAAGAAAGGACTGGTAAAGTTGCTGCAGAAGCGTGGCAAAGGGAGCAGGTCTGCCCATCCTGAGTCTTTCTGGATTCCATACTGCTTTCCCAGCGAGGGGCTATTTTCAGTCTGCAGTGCTGTGCTCGGGCAGGAGTCCCTTGTGCAAAGCCACTTCTTGGCTGGGACTTGCCAACTGACAAACTGATTTAAGTGTTGGGCTTGACAGATAACATAAATTATAGAAAATTAGGGTAGGATGGGACCTCAGGAGGTCCTGTAATCCAACCCCCTGTTCAAAGCAGGACCACTTCCAACTAGATCATCCCAGCCAAATAGAATAAGTGGTGAATATGTGAGGAAATGGTTTGCCATGAAGGGAGTGCAAAAGCTTCAGAAATACTATTGTGTCATGACTTAAGTCAGGCTCCCCCACAGGTACGACAAAGGTGCATGTTAGGAGTAATGTGTGCTTTGTTCTGCACTTCTCTCTCTCTCTCTCTCGGGCAAGTTTTTCAACTTAAGTAATCTTTCAGTTGTTAATTTTTCCTGAGTTTCTGAGCATTCATATGGTATGAGGTGGGTTGGCCCATATATCTCTGATTATATGAAGCAACACAGTGTTGTTTCTCAGTTTATACTCCCTTAGCTGTCTCCTACATGGGACTGACACAATTCTAGGACAATGACCACATCAAGAACACAGTTAGTAGCTTTACTTCCATGGAGAAGACCAGCTTCTCATGACTGTTACCCTGTTTTTGTTTTCAACAGATTGTAAAAATACTAAATCTCTACACTCCTGTGAATGAGTTTGAAGAGCGTGTGACTGTAGCCTTCATAAGAAACATTCAGGTAAGTTAAACATTCATGAAATGGAACCAGGTATCACATTAATAACCATCTCAGTTTCTCTGTGTTGCTAACCCATTTTTACAAAGGTTTAATGCTTTTAATTCATTTCTGTAATTGGAAGGCTGACTTCATTCCTTTACCAAACCCCTGAGACCTACTATGACTACTATTTAAGGATGGCTTTATTGTTAATCAAAACCTCTTTCATCCTGAAGAATCGCCCACAGCTCATAGCCACTATATGGGCTTATCAAGACTACTGAAATGCAGTCATCTCTGGGAAGGCCTGTGTCAGTCCTTTACCACTGTTTAGCAAAAGAACAGATTTTCAGGTGGAGGAAAGTATGCTCTAGCCAACAAGTAACAAGATGAAATTGAGGGAGGGGGGGATTATGTCTCACTGCACAGAGGCTCAGCACCTCCACCCCTTTTTTATGGGATCATTCCTGACCATGCAGTGGTAGGTGGTGTATAAATGCAAAATGTAGATTTCTTTCTTATCTTATCTAACTTAATGCAAAAATTAAATAACAAGTAACCAATGAGTAAGTCTAAGAACCATAGGCCAATAGTTCTAGATTCTTACGCATGATTTATTTCTTAAACCTAATTGATATTCAAGACATGCAAAATCATTTTAAAATCAATTAGGTTTAAGAAATAAATCATGCGTAAGAATCTAGAACTATTGGCCTATGGTTCTTAGACTTACGCATTGGTTACTTGTTATTTAATTTTTGCATTTTACTGTAATTGGTTTGTGTTAGTTTTACATTAACATAGAAAAGCGTAACCTCGTTTTATGAGAAAAATAACTCAAGCTTGAGTGGGTCTGAATGAATAGCTCAGATGAGGCAAGATAGGGCGTTTTTTAGAAAAGCGCTTAAAGAAAACAAGAAAAACATTGTAGTAGTTAGTGCTAAGTGACATTTCCAGTCTGGACAGCTGTTTTAGTCTCAGTATTCTGGGCAAAAAAAACCTGAGGCACTTGCACCAAATAGCTTCTCTTGCTCCCTCATGCGGCTTCCCCTGATGGAAATTCCATTTCCTGATTAGACACTAGAAGAATCATATTACTGAAAATTTAAATTTGGATGTTTCCCTAATAATTCATTTCTGATTAATTAAATGTGCCACTGTATAGAGTAGAAAAAGAGCACTACGAAACTCAAGTAAAATATATTACAATATGTTCCCATTCTTTAACGTTCTTTCTGTTTACATGTCTTAGGATATGAAAAAATGCAGCAAGTTTCCATTAAAAAATGGAAAGCATTTTAATGCTGTTTTCATATATAGTAAAGATAAAAAAAATATATGAATATAGTACCCTGCATTGCAAAAGAGCCCAACTTGATAAAGTGTGGTCAAATATAGTGTAAATCCTGCTTCCTTCCATCTCCGTATTTATATGACCCTTAACTGAATACTTAAACACCTAGGATTCTGGTCTTCCTTTGCTTCAAGGGAGATGGCTGCAAAACAGAGGGAAGGGGTTGAAAATAAAGGGGTTTATCAGAAAAGAAATGCTTGGTTCACCAGTGATATTCTGTAGAGCTCTGACTGAAGAGTGAGGTGACGCATCTGGCTTGCCTGCCCCCATAGAGCACACAAGCACACCAAAAACCTGGAGCCGGGGCTGTGCATTCAGTATCCAAACCTTCCTGATCCAACTTGGGAATGTTCCTCTGTGCCTGAGAGCCTGTAACACAGCTGGGCCAACCAGAATACAGAGGATGTCTGCCCAGGTCACAACACTATTCTTTTTTTTAAAGCTTCAGATACTTCTAGGGTAGTCTTCATTCTCAGCTTCTTAACTCTAAGAGCACACACTAGTTTCAGTCTTCTCTAAACCCTATGTCCAGCATCAATCAGAAAAAAAACTATGTAAAATACACTCTCCTCAGTCAGATGCAATCAACCTTCATAGAGAACATAAGAACTGCCAGCCCAAGTATCCATCTCGGCCAGCATCCTTGTCTTGGACAGCAGCAAGTAGCGGATGCTTTAAAGGAAGGGTGTAATAAATAGGGCTTGTGTAGTGATCCAGATCGTCCCAGTTACTACGGTCTCCACTTGGGGGAGGTCCTGAACCTGAAATTGCATCCCTGCCTGCTTGTCCTTACAAGACAGACATTTTCTCCACAAAATTGTCTAAGCCCTTCTACTAAAGCCTGTTTTACAACAACCTGTGAAAGTGAGATCCACAAGTACTTATGTGATGTGTGAAAAGAGATAAATTTTACTACTGTGTGTGTTGGGACTATTTTGTAGTTTGTTCAGTAATTCATGCTGAAAGTTGTTTGGGGCAGGGCCCATCTTGTGTGTGTGCATGTGTGTGTATTGGTACAAAATAAGTTTCCTACATTAGGGGTGTCAAATATATGGCCTGTGAGTAGGATCTGCCTAACTGAGCTACTGGCAGGCCACAGAAAGTTGGGCGATGTGATCTTCTGCAGAATCTGGGGCCCTTGGCCCCCAGTGGGCATACCAGTCTGGTGTAGGAGGGTGAGCCAGAGCTGATGCGCCAGCCACACCCAGCCACTTCACCTGTCACCACTGCTGTGGCCCTACCCTGTCTGCCAGCTCCGCCACCACTCCATGCCGGAGCCACAGAGTGCCCTGTGCTGGAGTTGCAGCTGCCACCATAGCATGCGGCATACAGTGGTGGTGGCAGCTCCAGCAGTGGGGTACAGCAGAAGCTGGAGCAGTACTGCATGCCAGAGCTACTGCCACCAGTGCATGCCCCGAGCTGGAACTGCTGTGCCCCGGACTGGATGCACCCCACATGAAGGCCTGAAGTCCAGATGTAGCCTGAGGCATGAGTTTAACACCCCTGCCCTTCAGAATGAATCTGGAACCTTAGCTTCCATAGGGGTGTTCTCTTCAGATCTTTTATTCTGTTAAGTGTTGCAAATGCTAGTAGAAAAATAACATGACATTATGCTCTTCTTTTTCTTCCACATTCCATAGGCGCATTTGCAAGAGCGAAACGACCCTCCACAGTTGCTGCTAGACTTCAAATACACGTTTCCAGTTTTGTTTCCATTCAGCCCATCCTCCATCACCATGGACTCTATTCACATCCCTGCTTCTCTCAACTTGGAATTTCTCAATAAAGTCTGAAGAAAATATATTTAAACCTATCTCCCTTCCTTAGAGAATTTAAGCAAAAAAAAAAATTAAATTTAAGGATTTCTTTAAATATGGACCAAACAAGATGGTGAAAGAACTGATATGCAGTGATGAATCAGTGCTAAAATGTACAGTAAAATAAGAAACTGATCTTGTATGTGATTTTTTTTTTTTTTTTTGGTAATTTCCAGCTTTGGATAAGAATACTTGAAAGCACTTTTTATTGCTTGATTTTATGCTGAAATAGTACAAAGTCCATAAGAGTTGCCAACAGCCATACGTGGCAAACACTGGTGAGGTGGAAGATGTTCATACACAGCTATGAAGAAATCCCAGCTAAAAATTTAAAACAAAATTCTACACACTTATTCTGGCTTCAGACAATTTATGTCCTTGATGAGCAGGTGGTTTGAGCATATTAATGTATTTCTATACAGAGACATAATTTTGCATCTCATTACTTCTGCTGCTAATTGTGGTACCAGGATGGTCTGTTGAGAAACTAAAAAATAAGTATTTGTCACAAGGGTTGAGGTGATGGACTCAAGATGATTTTTGCTTCCATCCAGGGGGATTTTATCTCACTTTCTGGGGGAGTTACCGTTGTTGTCCATAAAATGAGCTTTACTTCTGTGCACACTGTAGGGAGGTGGCTAGGACTGCCCATTAGGATTTTCTCCCATCCCCAAATTCATGATGGGCAACAGCATTTCTTCTTGGTGCAATAATTCCAGAGGCCTGGTAGCTTCTTTCCCACATTTAGTCTTGGAAACTCTCATCCCAAGCTGCACTCCTGGCTTTACCCCAGAATATTAAGAGGTATATGCTACCATATGCTGCAGGGTAGGTAAGGACTGCTATGGACTTTTAGTGCTTTACACAACAATGGAAGGCAGCAGTTGTCCCCTTGGTCTTGGAGTCAGTACCAACATTCTTGTCATAAACCTGTCCCTATACCACTAACTCATGCAAAACCAACCCCATTATTGGTGAAATCTCTGGTTCTGTTCACACTGGGTAAAATTCTAGCCTTTCTGAAGTCAATTGAAAAAATGCCAATTGACTTCAACAGGATTAGTATTTCACCCATTTAATTCAAAGTAAATCTTCTACTAACCACTATTGCAAATTCAGGGCCTAAAAAACTAGGAAGAGACTAGTAATAAAACATTTCTTTGACGGTGTTCTAAAGCGAAAAAGAGGTAAAAGACAGAACTGGTTTAACACAAAACACAGCTAGTATTTTAATGGCCCATTTATTAACACACACAAATGACCAGTGATCTTAAATTTTTATTAATAAAATTGGTACAAATCTTTTAAAACATAAGATCCTTAGTTAAGTATTTATAACCAATAGGACTTTAAATCAACAATACAAAAGGCTGCCTCTCCCTATTGTTCATTAGAAGTCTGCTATTTCTAAAGCATTCACTGATCACTTTCAGTGTACAAATCTGTTTGATTTTTAATTCCCAGTGTCGCTGGAAATGCCACCCTGGCCAGAAGAACACATCAAAGGTAAACAGTTGTATAGTAGCAACGATTACCTGACAATGGCAGTTGTTTGCAAATTATGACCTTGCAGCATGAAAGTAACCTTTTTTCTCCCCGCTTCTAACTTTTCCAGCTTGCAAACTGAAGCTAAGCCACTTGCCACCTTCAAAGTGGTCTTAGAACTAAGAGTGTTTGAGCTTTTTCACCTCCATAGTACTCCCAATTAGGTAACTTGCTTGCTTTGCAGATAGTTCCTTTAGCACCTCAGCAATTCCATGATGACTAAGTGCTTTCACAAAGGCCTCTTTGAATTTTTCAAACTATTTTTAGTTGGTGTAAATCATATTCAACTAGCAAAGTTGTTGTTAAGTATCCAGCCAACCCAGGGCATTAGAAAAAAATGTAGCATCTTGTAACAATGCATCGCACCCAGAAGGATACCAGTCAGCTTTTAGAGAAGAAATGAGTTTTAATTTGAACATTATGTATATAATTATATATATACACACACTATAATAGTCCTGTATGTACTATATATGTATATTGCTATCAAAAGCACATTTTAAACAAGAAACGAGTGCTGTGAAAAGTTGTATTGGACTACGTCTACAGTAAATTCCTGCTCTCAAACAGAAAACTATGGTTTCGTATAGCTTTGACCAGTGAAAGATATAGTTAAACCAGTTAACAGGGAGAGGAGTAACTTTTTCCTATACCCACTATTCATAATAGAGCATAGATTTTTTTTTTTTGCCTGTACAGTACCATTGCTACCTCCAAATTATGCTCTGTGACCCTTTGCATCTACTGTATATATTCAGTAGTGCCTTCATCTCCTTCCCATATACAGTAGGGTCACACTACCAGATTGCTGCCTGTAGCTCAGCAAACCCACTTTCTCACTGTCCAATCCCTGTCTACAGTAGCCTTTTTATTTATTGTAGCTACCTCTTCAAGTGTTAAAATTTTCATTGTGTTTTAGTTTGCAAACAGATCCTATCCTCTTTTCTGGAAATGAACTCATTTCCTCACTGAAATGAAATAATCCAGAAGCAGAACTTAGTGAGATGGTGACACAGATGCTATTCTCACAATTCATTTTAGGCCAGCAGTTTCCTCTCAGGCTCTTCCGGTCTCTCTACCTCTCTCTACTGCTGTAAATTTGCAGAACTCCCAAGGGATTCACAGAACTTAATGCTCATCAATTAAACTAAAGGAAAGAAAGCTGCAGAACCCTCTTCTACAATCATCTTGATACTAATCATGGGTATGAAATGTAGTTAGGGGCACAAGTCTTCAGCTGGAAGTTGTGAGGAACATAATTTAAAGATATTATAACAAGAATCTCTTACAAGCTATTAGTTTAGAAATAGGAACTGGGATTTGATGTTTTGATTTGTAATAATCTATCCAAGAAGTTGCATTTGGAAGAGGATTCTGTAGTAAATATCTTAAAATATACATGATCTTTTCTGTTAGCAATTTTTTAAATATCTTGCAGCTTTTTCTATAAAAAGCTAATATTGCTGTGTTCAGAATGCTTTCTTTCTTCCTTGAAAACTAGACATTTCTTTTCAATGTAAAGAGCTGTTCAAAATGAGAGCATGGCTTTGAGAACTTTGCTTTTTGGATTTGTCTTTAATGGTTAAGTTGAGCACTTTCCCACTGTGTGCCTTTTAGCTGTTACTAAGGTAACTGTGACTTCTTAATCACCGTTTCTCTGAAACGTGTTAAACTGTGGGAAGATTTTTAATCGTAAGAATTGTCTGTACATTTATAAATATGCTTATAAAATATTACACTGGAAAGGCTTGCGACCGTGTTTGGAGCTCACAGAAGAAACATTACTGGACACACTGATTTCTGCATGACTCGCATTTCTGAGGATGATGTTCCTAATCTCCAAGGAAATGTTTACTATTTAATATGAAAATAACACTGAAATATCTGACTATACACATGGCTTCATGCGTGCATTCTGTGCTGTGTAGTCTGTGTTTGAGACATTCCTAAGACATCCAGGACATCTTCCAAAATATTTATTTTAGTCTGAAAGTTGCTTCAGTTCCTCTTCCTTTCATTTGCATTTTTTGTAATTGCTCTTCTTAACTACTGGTCATGGTTATACCATGCTT